GCAACAATATTGTACATTCAGATTTTTATTTGAGCTTAATGTGTAACCTTTGAAGACCAAGTTATATTACTGATTTGGTTACCGCTCTTTAAAAGATTTTGGACTGTTATGTTTAATCAAATTGCTCTGAGGATGTTTTTGCTTGTTAGGATGCTAAAGTAAGTATGATACTGGTTTTAAACCCCTCACAATGTCTATTGTTATAAAATAGCTCAGTACTGCAACTAGTGGTGAAATATGATTAACTTTTATTTTGGGGCAATGCTTTTACTAACAGCAGTCTGTATTTATCCAAATTGCAACTTTTTAAAGTGAAATAGTTATTTCTATGTATCATTTTCCACTAACCAAATGTTATATGAAGAAGACAGATGAGGAGGCTAAAGCATATGAGGTCAAAAATGTTGATAATGTAGAAATACCGAGTGTATGCATATCCTTCACAATACACATCTTCTTTTAATTGTTTGGGAAGGATTTTCCTTCATGTGCAATCAGTAGCTGTGAGTATTAATAGCTGTTGAATCGTATTATTTCTTAATTCTGTGAGGGAATTAGCTGTGCTATACTGATGTAGCTGTTTTTTCTACCAATCCTTCAGGGTGGCTTAATGAATTAGTGTTAGAGAATATAATTTTTTTTCAGTTTGAAAGATGCTGATACTGCTAACGTTTTTAATTAGGTCTCAATTCATGAAAGTGTATGCATACATGCATGTGTGTTACAGCCTGCATTCCACATGTATTAACAAATTCATGTTTCAGAGGTGTTTTATTATTTATCTCAAACACCAGTTTAAAAAACGTGAAAAGAACCAGTAGCTCTGTCATGCCTGGTGTTAGGGAAACCTTATTTCCTATAAATTAGGGTCTTGAAGTTGATTGACTTTAATGTTAAAAAAAAAAAAAAGCACCGATTGTAAGTTTTTTCCCCTGTGAATGAGGTAGGTAGAAGCTCTTCGTCTCGCTGGAATCTGTGGTGTCTAATAAGGTGCAGGCTCACAATGTGGGTTCGCACAGTGGCAAAATTAAGAGGCTCCCACTTTTCCAGCTGCAGGCATGATCACAAAACATGTATGAACTTCATTACCCTTGAAACCTATTACCCATTCATTTGTGAAAGTGGTTTGAAAATGGCTAATGGCTTCAAATGTTGGAATGGGAGAAGGCAGAAGGTGAGAACAAGGGCAAAAACATCCTGCACGTGTGTGCAGAAGTATTCATGTGGTTGCATAAATCTCCTTTTCTTAAGATACCAGGCATAGAAGGGGTAGACAAAGAATGGAAAGGAGAAACCAGCAGAGGTCTCGAAGAGGAAATGAATGGAAAGGGCATGTGGTCGGGTAGGTGCTCTGTGGTACTACAAAGGTGTTTTATGTGGGTCTTGCAACGGAAGAGAATCACAGAGAGGTTTTGAAGGAAGAACAAATTAATCACAAGAGAAACTGAGTAAAAAAAGTTCCATGAATAGGGACATGTATGTGGAAAAAGGTCTCGGAAATGACTGAGAGAGAGGTGAGACAATGGGACACTGAGGTCAATGTCACAGCAGGAAGTGGGGCAACATATGGCCCCAGTCCAGGGCAGTTCTTTAGTTCTTGTTTAACTTAGAGCACTGAATTGGACAGCACATGTTGAAAATTGCAGTTGTTCTCAGGGACTTTGCTTCACTGGAGCCTGGGAGGTGCCTGAGACTTAAAGGTCCAAGGGACTGTTAAAGATGTGGCTTTGAACGAAAAGAGTAGAAATTGGAAGTTGATAGAAATGGCGCAGCCAAGCCAAGGAAATAATTTTTAAAAAGTAGAGAGAAGCAATCTAATCAAACAAGGAGTTCCTTTTACTTGGTGTGTTTCTGATGCCTTGAGAAGGAAAGTGTTTTAGCAGTCAGTTGAAAAGTTGTAGTGTATGTAGACTTTATTTGCATTTATACATATTGTTTCATCTGTTGCAAGTCAATACTATTGTGCTGTATTAAAATTACAGTCAGTGGATATATTATTAATGAAGAGTTTTTTTGTCAGATTGGTGTTTCACACTGTGTCTTTTATGAAATCCAGTCAGGGATCCTACAATGAAGTTTCTGTTGATATTTTGGTTGTAACTGCTGGCATGTTGTTATGCTAAGTCTTGCTGGACTTTCACTGTTCAAATTGAGCCTTGGGATGCAATATCAAAATACGTTTCCTTTGGTAGTAAATATTTAAAGAGGCTTTTGTCCTTACCATTTCCCCAGCTGCTTACGCAGTAGTGGCTTTATAGTTGTGCGTGCAGATTGCCTCCAGGGAAGTGGTCTGAACTGCGGAGGGGGAGGAAAGGGAATTTCAATTTTACTGGTCCAATTTGCAGCAATACCCCAGAGAGGCATCGCAGAAACTGATGTGAGGGAGTCAGTTTATAAGCTACAGAGACCTATAGAGGAGGCAGCTTGAGGACCCCTTACGTTTTCTGCAGGAGCAAAGTCTGTATAACATGGACCTGTCTCCTTATCCTTCCAAGTTGTGAAGTGCTTTTCAAAATATTACATATTAGTTAATGATTTTTAGTAGTCTTTTCCCTCCTGCTGGCACCCTTGCTGCCTGCTTCACATGCTGTTTTCAGTAAATCTTCACTGTGTAAACATCAATGTAACAAAAAGTCAGTCTCCGTCCCTTTGCCTGTTTTTTAATGTCAACAAAGTTTATTTGGGGCATTTCTAAGGATCTTCACTAAGAGCAACGATGGTAAAAATGTCATTATTTTCCTCATGAACCATGAAACCAAACTAAATTGTAAAAGTATGAGGGAAGATGATGCGGTATTACAAGTCAAAGCCTACCATGCGATTTTGTTTAGAGAAATGCTGGAGGCTTTGAAATGTCAAATAGATTCCAGTTGTGTAGTTTGAGGATCAGATTGTATTAACATCCATACTTAAAGTAAAATAATACCATTTGCTGGCTTGATTCCATTTATCTTCAATAAAAGTGAGTTCATAAATGAACATGACCTTTTTAAATCAAGGTTTCAGGTAGATTTCAGAACCTCAACAGTTACAATTTTGAAAGGAAAACTATGAGTGTTTTTGTACATCTTGGCTAATGTACTTTTTAAAACACAATTATGGTTCATAACCAAGCAGTTCAGTTACCTTTTATCCTTTAATACGCTCACATGTCTCCAGAACTTCAGTAATACTCTGTGCATGTGTCTGTGGGTAGGCCTGCCGTAGCGTGTACCTACTCTACAGTTGCCATATACTGCATAAAACTTGGACTTTGAATTGTGATTACATGTCTGCGTCAAATAGCTTTTGTAAGGCACCTTTTGAAACTTACCCATATGCTGTCTACTAAGTCCTCACTCTCTTGTTGCCTTTGTGTTTCTTAAACTCTGCCTAGCTTCCAGTTTCTGTACTTTTATTTTAAAAAGAATGTACTGCTTTTCTCCCTAGAAAATACGGGCAGAAAGTATATGCTGTTGTATGATGTATTACATCAAATTAAAGCTGCTAGACTTGAGTATGCACCTCAAAGTTCATTCTGTCTTATGAACCATCAGGGCTGGAGTGGGAGCCCTGGAGAAGAAAGATGGCATTAGAAGAAGCAGGAGGAGATAGGGAAGTTCACATGGGTTTATTTACGGACAGTTCCAAATCTGCCTGCACTAAAATTTCAGTAATTCTGCATATGGAAAAGAAATTTAGAAACCTATTAAGAACCAGTAGAACTATATTTGTAGTTATCATTTGGACATGCTTATAGCAGAGTTCTTTGTACTGGAAACTTGTCTTCAGGGTTAAAAGAGGAAGGCATAATACCAACCAGCACTGTAAAACTCTTAAAGGTATATACGAATATGTATGCTCTAAAATGTGATGAAAGAAGGCAGTTGGGGAAGGGACTAGTCACCCAGCTTAATTTAAAGGCAACCACACTTAAAGTATTGTTTAGAGATCTTGGCACATTGCATGATCTGTTGTTACTGTTGTTAGTTTATTCAGACATTACAGTCCTTGTGGTTCTTTGCCACCTTTTTTTGTTTTAAATGTTTGAAGCAGGTATATTAGGGAGAAATGCCATCCTTGCGTTGCTAATAATGCCCATAAAAACCTCATTTGCCACACTAATGAAGTCAAAATTTTGACTCCTCTTGGAGAAAATACCAGTCCTGCCTAGTGTTTGGCTACTTCTTGAATATAGAAAATAGGCCAAGTTGAGTTAATAATTTAACACAGACTTGTAGTACAGAAATCAGATGACTGCCAGCCTCACTAACCAAATATATTTTAGCAGTGCCTCTAGAAAACAAGCAAGCTTCTAGGTAGGCAAGCATTTTAAACATTCTAACATGAAGTTTTAAGGTATAGGATACATGTAGGTGAAATCTCTAAATGCTGGATTACACTTTTCATTTCACTAAGCACTTCTGATTGTAGCACAGTGTGTGGGGATGTTCGGTTGTGCCTCCAATTTAGCCTTTGCATCTGCTTCTGAACGTTGATGCATATCTGGCTCTAAATGCTATTCTCCCCTTTGGATAAAGATTTTATTTCTGAGCCCCTCCAGTACTTTTACCAGATATTAGATCAGGTCCCAGGAATCCCAGTGAATCAGCCAAATGCTTTTCTGATCTGATTCACATCTGGACACCATTCATATCACAGGTGGAAGCGGTGCCTCTGGTTGCCTCTATGAGGGTATTCCCAAACAAATGCAGAAAGCAAGGTGGGCTTTTTCTGGGGGAGTAAAGGCAGTCCAGAAGTAAACTGGAAGACTGTGAGAAATAATGCTTTTATAAATGGAATTTCTTAAAGAGGAACTTAAAAACTGCAAAACCAAGGAGAGATGAACATTTTCCATGGATATGTATCCTGTATTTTACAATTTTAGTAGTACATTTTGGGTATTCTGTGTGATTTTAGTATCTCTAGAAACAATGTGTATTAAGCGCATTGTACACCCGTGAAGCAAGTAGATATATGCTAGTGCTATTCAACGTTTTTTTCTTCTTCTTTTCTTTTAGATCACCTTTTGCTGCTGTCACAGACTACTCAGTAACAAGAAATAATGTCATACAGCTCTGTCTGGAACTAACAACAATAGTACAACAGGTATGAGACCATCTGCTTAGCAATTTGTTTTTTCCTAAATTGTAAATGGCCATTACCTTCTTCACACAATTTTATATTAATCTGTCTATATCAGTGTCTAACAAAAATAAGGGGATTCTAATAGTTAGTAAATGCTTTATAAAAATTCTGCTTCCTGGTTTTATAATACTAGTCTGGGTTGTGCTGTGTATATGCCCCTGCATATCTCAGTAGTAAGATTCATCTTGGGTTCTCTAGTCTCATATCATCACTATAAATTTAAGAAATCTACTTGGTAATTTACATATTTAATTTCTTATATCTTGTATTTAATTTTTAATTAACTGTCTGGTTCAAAAGGTCTGCATGTATTGGACTTTAGTCATCTGCTCTTTCATACAATTCGTATCATCTAGACACCTGTTAAGGTGACACATGTCCCCATGAGGCTAGAATATTTTCTGTACGTTTTTGTACATCCTACCTTCAAGAAATCCAGAACTAGGTACTGAGAAGCACTTGCTTAATAGGCTTCATTTGGGAGTGCAATCTAGAGAACCTTCCCCACCCTTCTGTCGCTTCTCTGTGTGTGGTTTAGGTCTATTCCTGTCTTTGCCTGTTGTTCTGCTGAAACAGAAAAGTCTCTTTTGCTGCAAGTTCAAACTAATGTTGATACCAATTTCTGTAGAAATAACCTAGGAAGTTGAAGTAATTCTGTTCAGTTGAGCATCATCATTTACCCTGATGCATGCATTTCTGAAACCACTCTGCTACTGGTGGCTGTGAAGGGCCTTGGTACCATCTTATACTATCAGTTGACCATGCGGTACAGCAGTGCCCATCATGCGGAGGGAAACGGGTCCGGAGAGGGTTGCCTCTCCTGGCGGTTCAGCAACAGCAGAGGGAAGGGACCACTGCTGCCAAGCAGAAGTTCGAGGGAGTGTTTGCACTTGAGAAGGTGGAGTGGAGAAAAGAGTGGGCTAGGTAGGAGCGCTGAGGAGGCTTTTTCTGGTTTTCAGAAGAATCACTCCAAACTGAGCAAAGCTAAACTTCTCCTATGGCCTCTTTGCATGCCTTTGTATGATGATACTCTCCCTTTTATAAAAGAAATGCATTTTTCTCTGACCCTTTCTTAAGTGTGTGCAACACTGATGATTAGTTGGGTTTGCCTCCCACCTGAGTTGGAGAAGAGCAGTATTGCTAGTCCCATGTGTTCAAGCTTGGGAAATGAAAGTTTCTCACTTTTCTATGTTATTATTAATAATCATTTTCCCTCAATTATGTGTGGGGTTTTTGATGTGGAAATGGAGCATGGGCTGTTCCCTCCCCACAGGCCACACAGCGAGGGTGCCTGTTTGCTTCCCAGGCCCGAGGGCCAAGGGGTGCCCCGCCAGTTCCATCCTTTAGCTGCCCCGTGCTCCCCACTGGGCTTCTCGCCATCACCCTGCCTCAAACTGGGATGGACGTGCCAGTGGTGGTGGCTGTGGAAGAAGAGCCCAGGCCTTTGTTTTCTTGGCTGCCTTTTGCATGATGCGTGTTTTCTATCTGTTGTCCTCTGGCTTGTTGTGCCTTTGTTGAGCTGTGAGAAGGGGTCAGTACTCTGGGAAAAGGAGGCACGGAGGGCATCCCTTCCCCTGGCCAGACTGCTCATTTTCCACAGAAGTAGCTGTGCATCACCATCTAGTTTTTTAATTGAGGGGAAGAGCCACCTGATCCATTTTCATGTGTCCACTATTAGTGAGAAAGTGGGTAAAATATCAATCGCTGCAGTATTTCCCAGGAATTAGCTCAATATCAGTTCATTTTCTTACAAATTCATCCCTATCCATGATACTGCTAATTCGCTATGGTATAGGTAAATACTTCTCTATGTTTATTTTTCAGTGTGAATGAGAGCAAATGTTACTATTTAATACCTTTTGAGAAAAGCAGTTTTATCTTCACCAAAACTGACATGATTCCCCAATCAGGAAGCAGTTCAGTACATGAATCCGTACTTTGAAGTCAAAAGGAGCGTTTATGTGCCTAAATTTAAGCATGCTCTGAAATTGAATTGGGCTGTAGTCAGAAGAATAATAATGAAAAATTCCATTACTAGTCCCGAACACATGTGATTTGATCTCTACTTAAAACAAATGCATTCCAACGTAGCATTTCAAAATGTCTTCGCTGAGCTTTTCTCTTACATGATCACTGAACACGCTGAAAATCCTCATTGTGCTCTCTTAAGGCTGTAAATTGAATGTTTCAGTATCACCTTATCAGGTGTTTTTTCTGTCTCAGAATCCGTTTTCTTTTGTATGGAAAGTACTTTATAGTACTTCACTACCTTACAATAATTTATAATTTAATTAAAAAAACTTTTTTTTGTTCGTGAAAGACCTACAGAAGGCCATGTTACAGTTGTTCTTGTAACAGTGGCTAACAACAGATTTTTATAAAGCTTAATGTTTTATTAAAAAAATATACAGTCTGTACATTTTCTTATACCTTTGACTTTTTTTTTTTTTTAAGACATTCATGAAAAAAAAAAAAAAATAGAACTCCAGTATTCACTTCAGTAACTGAGCACTGGCAGGATTGAAAACTGGGGTTTTTTTGTGTTGTTTAAGTTACAGCCAACCTTCAGATTTATTAACCAAAAATGATTCTTTAGTCAAGATGGAGGGAAAAAACCTAAAATTAAGCTGGCTTGCTTGAATTATTTTGCACTTTTTGAGGCTAATTGTAATGTCAGTGTTTCTTCGTAGAATTAAGTGTTGTTGGGTTCCCCCCGCCATTATCAGTGATAAATGGATAATGAAGAAAAAAATGACAGTATTACTGCTCTCTTTTATAAATATGAAGTCTAAGAAAATCTATTTCTGTGTCTGTGCTTTAACCTTTAAATAATTAGAAAAGTCAGAGTTATAATACCTACTTAGAGACAGACTTTGGAATAAAATGCAGAATGGCACATACTTTGTTTTAACCATTTCATTTTCTATGTTTGTTGCACATTGCCCAGGACCCAACTAACAGGCCAGCGTGCAGTGGATATTTGCCAGTGGAAGCAGGTCCCTCAGAGCACTGCAAGTTATTATTGTAACCTGCTTTGCATTCACACTAATCATCTGCTTCTATGCAGCTGTTTTATTTTGACTTAGGGATTCTTTTTCTCCCTGTTAGGACCTTAGGATATTGTTTCATAGGCACTTCCTGCAGGTTTTCACTCTTAATACCATCCTCCTTGCTGATGGCTTATTTAATTCAGGGCTTGCATTCTTGTTTCATTTTATAATCAACTCTTCCCTTGCAGCAGAACACTGGAGGGGAAAAAAAAGGATTTAAATAACAAACAAATCCATGAGACTATAATGATTTTTGCTACCATTCCCTTGCACTCTCTGCCTTACTCTCCTACACCTGTCTGCCTGCTTAGAGTGTCGCCATAGGAATCGGAGGCTGAGTATTATCTGTACTCCCTGTTTACACTGCAATAAGTAAAAAAGGCCTGTTCTTTCTTGATGGTACAAGATAGGTGTTAAAGGAATATGGGTGTACAGGTTGGCAGGGGTGAGATTGTTTTGGGTTGTGCTTTTTTCCCTTTTGGTTCATTTGTGAATTTAGATTTGTTTCGGCAGAATTGTTCCAGTCACAAATGCGTATAAGGAAGAGCATGAGTGGCTCCTTGTCTTTATGGCATTCATGAAAGTCTTGCTGTTGTCTTAGTTAGTCAGGGTGTTCAGCTTCAGAGAGTGCCAGGAACTGTTTCTTTTAAGTGTGCTTGTTTTGTTTTAGAAAGGTAGCAGTAGCTACAATGATAACTGTAAGGAATAGAAGATTTATTGCTTTCTTAGGCAATCTGTAGGTAGCTTTTATTATTCTTAATGCTCTTATTCTTCAGGAACCCATTAGGGTTTCACTAAAGAAGCTTTCTTCTTTAGAATTAAAACCCTGGAAATCTTGGGAATATCTGAAAAATCTGATTTTATATTTCCTTTGTAAGTTATCAGACATTTAAAGAAAACTTTACTGCTGAACACCGTAGTTCATATTATTGCTGTTTAATAGTGATCATTAGTAGCACTCGTCACATGTTTTTTACTTTCCTTAATCAGCTTTCACAATGATTTGCTGTGTTTATTTAGTTTTAAAACCACTGGTGTTTATCTTGCAGCTTTAATGTCTTGTGGGATTTACTTAGCAAGATGCTCCAACAGAAGCATAGCTGTAGGCCTGTAAATACTCCTTTATAAAAGCTTCACTGCAATTACTGTTCTGCCTAAACACCTTTTTGAAGAGGGACTATGCGATGGAAGCAATTCTGTGTAACAGGGGTGGAGATGGAGAACAGTCACTTGGCTGACATAGACCTGGCTTGCATTGTTGTCACAGATCATACTTCTGACTTCATTTGTCTCACAGCAACATTTGGAGGTAAACTCAGATTTCGGATGACATGGGGTGAGAACTGGAGTGATGCAATTTGGGAGGTGATGGCCAGGATGGAAGATAGCTAGGGAAGACCAAGACAACCATCCACAAAAACTCTGTCTGGACATATAGGCACCTGGGATTTTGAGCTAAAAGCCCTAATATAGAGCACGTACAGAAGTGCCTGGTGCACTGCCTCAGCTGAGTGATTTGGAGCTTATTCCCCATTTAAAGATGTTTTGAGATTTGAAAAAGTAAGTGTCCATATATTCCATGCCGCAATGGACTCACTTCCCATGCTAGAGGGGTAATCTTTGTTGGACTTCTAGCCGTTGCTATCTTTCAGATAAAAGATACTGAAAAGGATCACAAATTATTTCTTGAGTAATGTGCTATTTTTCTATGACATTGTGTTTTTTATAATCAAATGGCTGTAACTTACGTGACGAATGTTAGCCCCCCATCCCGACTCAGAATCCAAATGCGGTAATATAAAATGGCTCTATTAATTTGGTAAGGACAATATCAAATATATGAATAGAGAAGAATAATTAATATCCTTAGTACTATTGTTACAAAGTATCTCTCATATAATCTTTTCTATC